ATCCTTCACTTTGAATAAAGCATTCAACTTCATCAGCTATCAATGATGTCACTGCTCGGTCGCTGTCAAAAGTTTATACTCGAACCCAAACAATATCCTACTATATATAGACCACACAGATATACTTTGATTAGAAACGTTTGAGAATGCAAAAAAAGGTTGCTGAAAAGATGGTCAGAGGCTGTTGGGAAATGCAATGGAATATCAAAGGTGGGCGGAGTTTGCTCTGAGTTGGGTGGGGCTGAAATCAAAAATCCGGGACTCTGAGTAGCGAAAGAAAAGTGGTTCGAAGCTATAGCAGAAATATGATCACGTACCCCAAGGGAACGTTGTTTGCCTGTTTGTGGGCGATGAAGGATATCGTCGTTGTTGCAAATTTCACGAGACGTTCTCAAATGCTCAGTGAATTGTATGAATGCGATATTACAAAGCGAAAGGCTTCCCGTGAAATTCAAGAAACCGCTCTACATAAACTGAATGAATTTCTTAGGAAATTCAGCTTGAAAAGAACACATTATCGCTTTACTTCTGAAGAAAACGTATGAATATGTGCGTGCTGCTTGAATAGAATTTGATTATCAATAGTGCACGCGAGTCAAGGGAGCCGATCATTATCATTCAAATTTTTATAAAGGCTGAAAAATAAGATGAAAAGCGAATTGAGGAACTATTGCAATTCTCATGCTAATATTACTGCAACAATATAAAAACTATGTGACGGCTCCTACCCCATGCAACCATGAAGCGTCTATTGCTTGCTTCCGTTGTTTTGGGAGTAGTCGCGGTTAGTTTTTGGTATAGTAATCATTCCAAGAATCTCCTTGGCGATTCCCAAAAGCCTAGCAAAGATAAGACAGCTCTAGTGGACCTAATCAGGAAATCGTTTAGGTTCGTCAGGCATTGCCACCACCAAAAGAGATTGGAACCGGGAATGATTACGTGTCTGTCGAAATAATTACCAAGCAACTCTATGAGAACCGATCCGCTGAGGAGGAAACGGAGGTCGGCGAGTAATTGAGCCCTGCTTAACAGTTTCATATAGCAGTACTTATTCCAGATCAAAAACTACGCTTCAAAGCTTGGAACCCTCAAGGGAATTGTGCAGGCTACAAACGATTTCAAGCATCTTATTTACAAATTCGTCCTTTTATACGCCAATTGCACCAAGGTAAAGCTCAAGCTGAATTGAAGCTCAAGTAGTTTCTGCAACATTTTGATGTGTAGCAAAAATTGGTGGCTGTATTCGATTAACTGAAAAATAACCATTTTTCAGCTATACTTCTGTCTTTTTAAAGCTTCTAAGCTATGTTTTTGTATTTTCAAGCTTATTTTGTAGGTGGATAACTGGATTAGTGATGTTGTGAACAGCAGCCCGAAAACCTTTGAAAATGGAACTGTAGAATGCAAACG